GGATAGTTTATTTATGTTTCTCTTATACTGCTTCGTTTTCGGGGACCCTCCGAAACTCATGCAGATGGTCGCACAGACAGAAGCATGATCTTAGTCAAGAAACGTGGACCAGATGGATTTACAATCCTTTACGCTACCCCGCCATCCGAAACTGATTGTGTTATGGCCAGTCTGAGACTGTGATTGCGACGCAGGAGAGGGTCGCTAAGTAGCGGAACGTCTTCTCGAATGCCAAAAGCTTGTACTGGAGAGAAGCAGATTGTTATCTTTGCACAGTGTTAGGAGTCCCTCTTCATTACTTGAGCGGCTGCCATGGAGACCACCAAAATGACTTCCGCTAGCTAAGGGGCGACCGACGCGTGCGTTGCGATCTCCAACAAGGACAACAATATCGAATTTACAAGCTCTGCTCAAGAGCTGGTGAAATTCCCGTTAGAAATCGTCCTTAACTGTATCGGAACTACAGTCATTTGGAGCGTATACCGTGATCACAAACAAGTTGCTTCTCTCCTTACTACATCTGTTAATCCTGCATGATCATCGAAGCCGAATTGCACACAGTTGGCTGTTAATCGGGAACCAGTCCTGCAATACGGCCTCGGCTTCGCTACTTAGCGTTACTTCAACGCCAGCCGCAGCTGCTTCTGTATCATCAGATCGGCGTAAGTGAAATATGGCTCCGTAGTCGGTGGGAGATCTCAACTTAATCACAGTACTGGGATCTTGCAAACGCGTTTTGGAAAGACAGCAAACATCGACGGCGAGGAATTCCAAGGTGCGCGAAAGAGCAGTCTGCTGCCCGGTCTGCATGAGTGTACGTACCTTAAAACACAGATGGAACGAGGACTGAGGCCGAAGGAGAGTCACTGGGCGAGCTCTGTGAGTGTCGACGAAACCATCGGGAGTAGAGTCATGGAAACCGGAATAGCTGGTTACAGATGACAGCTATTGGTTACAATTGAACGGGTGACGGTGAAGGTGTGTGAGTAGCAGGAACAAAACCAGCTGAGAGCGATCCATGATTTTGTCAATAGGCATGATACTACCTAGTTACCCAAGCCGAAGTAGGGAGTTGTCTTAAAAGACACCACCCGAGCCTTTGACTAAATAGCCTGCCGGCAAGGCAGTGAGGCGAATTCAGGGAATTGCGCCCATTGGGAGTCCTGATTGAATATCCAGTCTATAGTCCTTAGTTTGGTCGGTTACCGAACACGGGACCATGATATCAGCACATTTGCTGGAGTACAATGCCCACCGAGGTGAAGCAAAGGGCAGTGACTTTATTTAGTGGCGAGTCACATTCGCCACGTCGCAGTGTTGTTAAACAGACATTTGTGGCTATTTATAGGGAGAACGCTTGTCAGGCGAAAACCCAACACGTCATGGAACACTGCCGCCGAACACTTCGCTGGAACAGGGTAAACTCGTGTCACCCAGCTGGCACCACCAGGTCGTTTGGCCAATGAGCCTATCAGACAATGCACCTCGAGGAGGATAGTCAACAAGCTTACGGTGGGTTCTTATTCCGGTCCACCGCGATTTTAAAAATGCACCAACATATCACTGTCATATGAGCGGATCGATTCTCATCTTGCTTCCGGTATTTATTGTCCTTAGTGGTACTTTCAATCACATTGACTTCTAACAAGCGTCATAAGGTGTGGCATCTGCCTGCATATTTCGCTTAGGTAGTCTGACGAGTACTCAAGTCAAGTTACTGTGCCCGAAGGGGTGCATTTTCCACACGTCGCAATAGGTACTGCGGATGTCATGTTGATCATTTCACTTATCTTGGCAGCTGCATCAGCAATGATGGTCTCATAGAAACTGACGTCAGCTCACGCATTGCAAAAGCCAGAGCTACCTTCTTGAAGCTGCGGCATCTTTGGCGACAGAAAAAGGTTTCCCTCCGTCTAAAAGACCGGGTATACAAGGTCACAGTGAGGGCCACTCTGCTCTACAGTAGTGAGACTTGGCCCGTTCGGTCTGATGATCTGAGGCACCTTCAAGTCTTTGATCATCGTTGTCTGCGAAGCATTGATGGTGTCGGATGGCACCAGCGTGTCCGCAGATGATGTGCGTAGTCCAGTACTAGGTGGTGATAATCATGCTAGCTCCCTAGAACAACATATAGCACTGAATAAGTTGCGTTGGTTCGGGCACTTGCTACGTATGCCTGGTCACCGCTTACCTAGGATGGCCTTGTTTAATCTGCCAGGTGTAGGGTGGCGCAACGCTTGCGGTGGACAGAAGTTGACTTGGCAACAGGAAATGAAGACACTAACGACCAAACTGGTTACCGTTGGTCCATCTCGCCTTCCAGGCTGGAGTCCTCGCGACTCGCCTTGTGCTTGCCTCAAGAGTTTACAGGACATGACTCGCAACAGACACCAGTGGCGCGTCTGCTGTCGTCTCCTAATCGGATTGTCTGTTTAGTGTTTGGTGTTGAGTTGTCTGCGAGGTAATGGCTGATTCTGATGCGGGGCAGTGAAAGCCGCAACGAAGCTGTCTCGCCAATGCCGCCTTATCTTTACACGATAGCCAGCTGTTTGTGACGGTACGTTGTCTACACAAGGTGTAGGCGCCTTGACCCTGAATATTTGGTTAGGGCATCAAGGTTTTCAGGTAAGTCCCCTTCTCTCCTTCTTTTTATTCTTTATTTCATAGGTGCTCATGGTTGTGTGGCATCAAAGCATCAACTCAAATGGCTGATGTACTGCTGTTGATGATGATCGCGCATGTCTTAAAACCGCATCATTAAAAGCGCGTATTTGTGGGAATGAAGAAAATGGCGTTGGATTACCAATTCCACTCGAATAGATGGTCCCGAATCTGCATCCTGTTGGTGAAACCGTGTCGTAACCCAGTTTGTCTATCCGGTCGATGACTCCCCAAGTTAAAAATCGCCTTTTGATTATTTTACTTTGTTTTTGAACTGCGTACAAAATTAGCAAACCGCATAGTATGCGCAGTAGCTGAACGTTCCTTTACATGAAATCGACGAAGGATAGCATTAGTGACCTTTTATATAGTCTGACTGAGGAGAATTTTAAAAATAATAAGTGGATACTGATTAATCTGCAGCAGATAGTGTAACAACGATGTTTTATGGAAAAAGCAACTACCGATTTACTAGTTTGAAACATGAACTTCCCTTTATTATTCCATATAAGAATATCAGAAGATGCATGTTGTGCGATGACACCGTCATTTCGTGCAAGTAAAAAAGAACCCAAATTGAGATTACACTTGTTGGTCAACAGAGCTACGATTGTGCAATACTCTCCACCGTGGAAGGCTTAGCGTCACAGTCAGCTGTTTTTGAACGCAGAGCGTTGGGCGCTGTCGATCGATAACAATGGCCTCGAGAAGCTTGAGAATGTGAGGTCTTTGGCTGCGCATGATGACTGTGAATGATTCATCCGGGTTTACCTGGTGACCGATGTTCAGCAAATGCCTCGTAATTGCTGAGGTAGCTTTGCTACTTAATTCACCCGGTGAAACCATCACAAGTTCCATCCGTTTGCGGAGGCATTTCGGAATGTGTTCGTTGGACCGGGCACCAAGATTTCGCTAAGTGCGCCTAACATAGTCATCCCCGCAGCTACATGTGAATTTGTATGGACAGTGGGACGTGCATTGCTTCGACACCGGTGTCTTCAATGAACACTTAAGCAGTGGTCTTGTGGACATAAGCATGCGTAGCTCCGTTGCATTGTATGCCTTTTTCATTTAGGCGCTTATTCGTTTCGCGATGTTTTTCATGAGGTGGTCACCTTTGAATGTCAACTCGATGAAAACCGGTTTCTTTTGAACCGTTATCTCTGGTTCTCGTCTCACTGTGTCGCTGTAACGCTTTATGAACTATAGTGGATAACCATTAGCTTGTAGCACCTGAAACAGTAGTTCTTTCTCAGCTTCCAGTGTATCTGTGGTGCAAATCATATGAGCCCGATGGAACAGTTCGAACTAGGGAGCGCTTGTGATGTATCGGCGAAAAGCTCTTAAAATGTAAGTATTGACCCGTCCAGGTCGCTTTTCGATAGACTGACCTTTGGATTGAACCATCCGGCCCTCGTGTAAGCAATATTTCTAAGTATGGGAGACAATTGTCATGCTGTCTCACCTGTCACATTAAGATTCTGGTGTACACTATTGAACACTTTGGTTACAAGTGCATCTTCATCTGAATCCACGACTAATAGTATATCGTCAACATAGCGGCGCACGTCCCATTGTCTATACAAATCCACAAGTAGCTGCGGGGATGACTATGTTAGGCGCACTTAGCGAAATCTTGGTGCCCGGACCAACGAACACATTCCGAAATGCCTCCGCAAACGGATGGAACTTGTGATGGTTTCACCGGGTGAATTAAGTAGCAAGGCTGCCTCAGCAATTACGAGGCATTTGCTGAACACCGGTCACCAGGTAAACCCGGATGTATCATTCACAGTCATCATGCGTAGCCAAAGACCTCACATTCTCAAGCTTCTCGAGGCTATTGTTATCGATCGACAGCGCCCAACGCTCTGCGTTCAAAAACAGCTGACTGTGACGCTAAGCCTTCCGCGGTGGAGAGTATTGCACAATCGTAGCTCTGTTGACCAACAAGTGTAATCTCAATTTGGGTTCTTTTTTACTTGCATGTACGTGGCCCATGCAAATGCACGAAATGACAGTGTCATCGCATAACATGCATCTTCTGAACTTCTTATATGGATTTACTAGTTGCCGCGTACTTTGGGTCTGGCTTATGGGTTTGCGTGTTATTGCTCCGGTCGCATCGACTTTCGGTTGATATTATCTTGTTTCTCTGGGTGGATTTCTACGAGTCTACTCAATACTAGCCGCCGACTATCTGAATACCGAAAACGGCACACTATATTTGATCCCCAGTGACCCCGAACTTTTCATTCTAGCCCCTGTCACTCACTTGACGTATCAGTCCTGCTCGAGCACGACTGCTCTGACCCCTGTTTGTCCTCTTCTCTACGCAGCATCAAGAGCCCGAAGCGGACCATGATTTCTACCGTTCCAACTCCAGTCGAATCCCCTACAGATGTAACGAGCATTGGCAACGAATCCTCATCGGGCTGAATGATTTACGGCAGTGAGTGCTCCTACTTCCATAAGCGCTTAATCTGACCTCATTCGACTCTTCTTCAAATTCTGCACCTTTCAACTGAACGGTGTTTGTTCCAAATCGCTTTTGCTTCTTGGCGCTTCTCCCTAACCCAGTCTTTCTCGCTTATTTTTACCCTCATATCGTCCCACTTATATATCGTTTTGTACACGCTGTGCATGTGTTCTGTCTCTAAACATAAAGTGTTGTTCCGCTCGAACTTGGCATTTTTTGTATTCGTTTCCTCTTGCTCCTCTATCACCATCACCCTCAGAGTGATTATGTGTGGTTGACTTGGCTTGCTTCGTTTCGTTCTGTTGAACTTATGGTGTGATTCCGCTTCTGAGACTCGAGCCTTGTGTTTGCGAAAGAGCTCGGGACTCCTTATTCTGTTCAGAGTTACCATAATACGTACAAGAATCGCAGTATATATATATATATATATATATATATATATATATGCCCCATGCTGAGTCTAATGTTGCATTCTTGATGCTTCTTCATCGCAGTTGGACTAAACCAACTTACGTTTAAACTAAGTCTTTTTAAGCTGGCTAAATTTCATTCCACTTTATTTGGTTTGTTCTGCCTACCTGAATAATCTTCTATTAACTGGCCACGTTGCTTAAACTAATTGCGCTTATCTTCGGTAACTTTGTTGCGTTTGTAGCATTTTTAAGTAACTTGTGGACAATTTTTCCTTATCGCGGATTCGTTGCTAACCAACTTACTACATATGCTAATTTAGTGATGAGTTATGCCACCGTATCTGTATGCATTATTGGATTTGTTTTATTTCATCTTGTTGTTTCAAGTGATTGGCTGTTGTTTGATATCCCCGGTGTGGCTGCGCTTGATGTGCATGTTGGCAAGGTGCCTACCTGTCTATTACCCACTACCTCGTCCATACTGGCTCCAGGCGACAGTTGGTCGTTGCTGGAGGGGACGGGGTGCACGGTCCTTGTGGTCGTGCTAGGCTCGAAGATCGGTTCCATGCAGTCAGTGTGGAGCGGACTACGGTCCAGCCACCGCCTTGTGTGCGATTGATTCCCCAAATACAGCGAGCTTGTGTTTGCCTGTGAAGAAGTGTGGGCCGGCTCCGTTGATGAAACGTAGCTCCCATCCACCTGCCTCCCGGTCTTATTCCTTCTGGTTTACACTGGATATGGGGTGTGTGGATGGAGCTGTGTGTGGTGCAGCGCAAGCCACCCATGGTCCCTCTGTAGGCGCACCCGTTCTGTGGCTGGCCATAGTGACAGGCAAATCCGAAACCGGATGCCGCCAACCATATATATATATATATATATATATATATATATATATATATATATTATTGAGATTGCGCCTCGCGATCCAATCACAGCGCGAATGATCCTCAAATACATGCAGGACTTGCTTCGAATCCTCCTTGTTTCCGTTCTGCCAGCTGATCATGTGATTCCAATTCAGTATGTTTATGATGCTGTCTAAACCTCTGCCCTTGCGTTTTGTATGTGATCCGAACTAGGGTGGGTCACCTTATTCAACTTGTCTCTTCTGTTGCCCATATACCTGTGGTCTCTATGAAGGCGTTTATCTGATAAATTACTCTTTGCATCCACCATTATGGTCCGAATACTATGCAGGGGCCTTCAAATTCGGACGTTGCTGTTCTCCTTGAAGTATTTTACACTACCGACTGTGGATTCTATATTTTATCTTTTAACTTTGAAGCTATTTGTTTTTTTTCTGATCAGGTCTCGAGGTCGATGTAGTCCTACTCCGTCAAACATCTGAAGACGTTACGTGTTACTGCCTTAAGCCCATGCTTCATCGAATACGGCCATAAAGTCAGGAACACTTACAAACGTATTAGGAATAAATGTCTTGGAAAAAAGCGCAAGCATCTTGCCTGCTGGCAGTCTAGCTTCAGTCGTTATTCTGTCGACAAAGCGTAACTCCCACTGATACTCTCCAGTAATGTTCGATCGCTCCTTGGTAAAATCAGTGATCTCAATGTTATTATGCAGCGAAATGTGTATGTTAATACAGGAATTATTCTGTTACAAGAAAGCTGATTGCATACGGATGTGCAAAATGGGGTAATTCACCTCGATAGCTATGTTCCCCTCAGGTCTGACCGCCTCGGGAATCCGCAGTTTCGTGGTGCTGGTGTTAGAACTTGCGTTACTCGACGTTGGTGCAACGCAGCAATCATAATATTTACGTACTCAACGATTTCTATAAGCTGCCATTTAGTTGAATGCAAACCAAAGTTCCTAAGTGGCTTTCGATCAGTCATGGTTGGAAACGTATACATTGCTCCTGACACATCTGCATCGGAGTTTTGGCTTTTTGAGGACCAACATTCTTCAACGCTACTGCTTAAGTTAAATTGTTTTATCTGTATTGTTGCTGGCGACTTCAATAGAAAGGATACAACATCCTTGAAGACACTTGGCTTTGTAGACCTAGTGACTGTTTCGACCAGACAAGATGCCCAGTTGGACGCTGTGTTCACAAATGAACTACAGTTGTTTGCCATACAAACGCGGGCTCCTTTGAGCAGCTCAGACCATTGTATTCTAAAACTGTGTCCAGTTATATACAGCAGGTTTAATTTTTTAACGCTGACTAGACGTCCTCTTAAGATTATCAAACGGCAAAATTGCTTCTTGGAAAATATCACGAGGCTCCAGACGATGTTTTCGTTAACTGATTTTTCGGTCTTCTACGACGAGGACCTGTCGCTCACATGTGACCATCTTACGAACTGCATCAAATATTGCTTTGGCATGTGTTACTCTGTTGGAACGATCTATCTAAGAGTAGATAGATTTTCATCACCACTATTAAAGCGACTTCGAAGGATGAAAAAATGGGCCTACAAGTGCACGAATGCAACCCGTGTCAAAAGTCTAACCACAGCAATTAAATTCAAGATAAAATGGCAACCGATTATACGTCGAAGCAGTTTTAGGGAACCATAACTGTCGCGATCTATAGAGGCTTCTGAGGCAGCTCCGTGGTAACCGCGTTTACAGCCAGAGTGGTGAAGTGGATGTGGATAAACTGAATTCCGTCCAGCTAAGCTCATCTTCCTTGCCCTCCATTAGCTCAAGTCCTGCTGCGTCCTTCGATCAAAGCAACCTACACAAGGAACTCAAAAGTTTTAAAGGCAAACAAAGCTTGTGGTTCGGGTGCTCTTTCACCATTCGTTTTGAACTAGTATGCTGATTCTCTCACACTGCCTCCAACAGACCTCTTTAACAAATGCCTCACTACCGATGTGATCCCGAACATTTAGGGAACAACTAGTATCATTCCAGTACCAAAAATGGATCTCAACTATCGCCCAATTGCATGTACATCTGTGCTCCTAAAAGTTTTCGAAAGACTGTTAATTCCGCAGATTTTTTCAGCCGCTCCTGATGACGATATCTACCAGTTTGTGTATAGACCCCAGCGCTCCACATTGGATGCAGTGACATATGTTGTTCATTCTATAGCCTCTGCGTTAGATCAAAAATGTAAATCCATGTGGCTTCTCTTCCTGGATTATTCGAATGTCTTTGGATACCTGGATATGTCAACGTAGCTAAACCTGCGATCCGAAAATGCAGTTCACCCTGGTGTGTGTAATCTGTTACGTGGCTATTTTACAGATCGTACTGACTTTACCAAATTGAACGGTAAGAAATCTTCTGTCCTCCGTGCCGACGGTGGTGTTCTACAAGGAACGATCCCATCACCCTTTTTTTCTTTGTATGTTGAATATCTCCCTATACAAACCACGTATGCTGATGATGTTGTGCTGGGATGTATGTCCCTCACTAACCAGGATTGCTCATCACTTCAACCTAGTTTGGCTGAGCTAGTGGAACGGTCTTCATCCAGATCTCTTACGCTTAATGCTTCTAAATGCAGTGATGTAATATTTTTTCTACGTGGCTATAAGTTGCAGTCCCTCATAGCTTTCTCCCCCACACTTACTGTGATTGAAAATCCTATACCCAGCTCTTCCACCGTCAAGTTTCTCGGCGTTTTTGTCCCAGAACCTTTCTTGGTCCACGCATGTCTGTAAAACTTTTCAAAATGTCAGAAAACGTTCTTTTTATGCTCTCAGACTTAAGGTGGTTTCAGTACCTCGTACTTTAATATTCCGGTTTGTGACCTCTTGTATTATTCCCCATTGGCTGTACTGCTCTCCTGTCATTTTCCATGGACTGCTTCAAAAAGGTTACATCTTATTGCTGCGTTCTATAAAGCACATTTCTAGGTGCAATGGCTTATCTAGAGATTCTTCAGTTGATTTGATCATTTCTAGACATCTTGATGCCTGCAATGATTTTTCTTCTAAGATACTAACTGATCAATTTCATCCACTTCACAATGATCTTTCCAAAACGCTCTCTTTCTCTTCTACTCGTTCGAAATTCAGAATTTTATTCTCCCGCACGTCATCGTATTGTAATACTGTTTTGCGTTATCTCTCAAGTTTGGTTGTCGACACGGTAAAAGTCACTAACATGCTGCGCGAGCGCTTGTTGGAATAACAGTTCTGCTTGTTTCCCACTTTTCTACCCCAGCATGTATATTGATATTGTCATCCAGGTGTCTGCAGTGTTGGTGCAAATGATGAAAACGAACCCATTAGGGTTCACATAGCTTATTTTGACTTGACTTGAACATCAGGCCCCCACTCAGAATCCAAAGAATTCATCTCCGACTACGAAACGTCATTCACTTTTTTCGATGCACTCCAGGAGACTTTCTTGGCCTTTTCGACACGTTGTTAAACGATTTATTGTTGTGTTAACTGCACCTAACGGAAGAATGTATATGACAGCTCCATCTCAACACACTATCCCTTGATTTCACTTATACTAGTAGTCTTCCGTCTTTTTCGCTCCGAAGTCATCGTTAAAATATCCTAGATGCCATGTAGAATGAACCACTGGACACAGTGCCGTTAACTACGTTATTTGTCACAGTTGATTGGAACACGTGCTTGCTTACCCATTGAAGTTGTAACTGCATGGACTTCATTCACAGTGCTATGACATCATGTTTCTGTTTTTTTCCTCAACTACGCGTCCCTTGTAGAGCAGACACTACGGGTGTTTGTTGATATTGTAGCCCGCTTTATGCTCAAATTTCCAGATAAACTCCCTTTTGCTTGCTTTCACAGAGGCGGGCATTTTTGCGATGTGATCTTACAGGCCGGTGCGGTAAAGATTTCAGCCCACCGGAATGTGCTCGCAGCCAGTTCGCGATACTTTAATGCAATGTTCACTGGCCCCATGGCTGAAGCTCGCTCGCCCTGTGTTCAAATTCAAGGGATTGATGGGGACGCTCTCATCCAGTTGATTGACTTCATCTACACTGGGGGTAAGTTTGTTTTGAAATCTATAGTTAAGCGTTCAGTCAGCAGGTGACCTTTTTCTCCCCATACGCTTGCTTGACGTGTCCAGGGCGACAACTCGACTTCAATTAGCGTCTTCCTGGTTTATTCACCAGATATGGACGTTAGTTCTTGAATGCCATCTCACTTATCAGCTATGTACATCTTTGGTCTCCCCGTCCCTTACGTTTCTGCGTCTTTTCAAATCACTGCCACACTTTAGTCTGTCTACCTCCGCTTTTTTCAGTTTTGCACCCGCAGCGTAGTGCTTTTATCACTTTCAGGGGACGAACTTCTGTCTTCAGGTGACCACTGCTTTCCAACTGGCTTTGATCAGGCCAGTCAAACGGACACGTTTATCGCAGTAGGGTTTACTGTCTGTCGCGACTTGCATAGATCTGGTTACTCACCCATTCTTTGTGCTCATTTCCCATGAGTCGCTTTGTTTCTCTAATCCCACCGCTTTGTGTACTGGGCTGTGAACAACAAGCCAACTACAGGGAGCACCTGGATGTAACCAAGGCCCCATATGTACGAGAAAAAAAACAAAGGTTTACCGATTACTTGGTCCAGGGGACGGTACCTAATGGCCTTATAACGTACTCTGGTTTTTCTTTTCTTCTCTGCATTGCTTCAGAAATTCCAGACGTCTTTGCTTTTCTCCTCCGATAGGATGGCCCGAGTTCGGGTTACTTGGATTTCAGGCTCTTTTCCATACTGTATTCTTTTTGTAAAATGCTCACATCGATGCAACGTATTACAGTGCGATTTTCTCACGCTTAGTCTCCACTTATTACACAGACATTTTCAAGCCAACTTTACTATTTTCTGGTACTCGCGAACTGACAATAGATGCCTAGCTTATTGTTATTGTCCTGTCTACCATGGGTAGGTTTTGTCTCTCTAGTCCAGTCGCACTTAAAATACCTTTCCCCCCATCATTCACGTTCCCGTTCTAATGTTTTGTCGCATTCAACGCATCGCCTCCCACCCTCCTATTCAAATCGGTGCACCACTATCAGACTACTTTTTGCAACGCAAACATCCAGATGTATCCGTTTTGTTTATGTGATTTACTCTTTATAACACCCGATCTTACGCATTTGCTTGTGCACTCTCGACTGGAGTTCCGTTTGCACTTAGTCCCCGGGACTCAATACTATTTCTGTAGTCATCTACACCCCTGCGCACGTGCATATGGATGGTTCGTATTCATGCAATCAGTCTTCTATGAATTTTTCTGTTCCATATCAATACGTTTGAACTCGCGTGTAAGTTAACTTTGTCTTGTTCTCAGACCCACGCTTTCCATGTTTTTCTTTAGAAGCTAAGGTGCTTTCCCCATTGATGAATGTTTGTGCACACTCGTTCGTCCATGTGTTGGTGCTTTATAAAATTAGGGATTCCAATTTCCCCCAGCTAATTTAGGTAAACAGTGGACGACGCTAGGCGTGTTGTTGTCGTCAGCTCCCGTACCTCTTATCCATATACCTACATTCCTCTTGATACAACAGGTTTGAGCATTCAATTTCTACTTTTATGCTGTTGGGCGACTGTACGTCTAAGTATTCGCTGCTTTAACTGTATCCTCAACCACATGAATACTAAGAATAAAGAGCGAGAAGATAAAAATCTGTGGTGCTCCATCGTAGGTGGACCGGACACATGCGCGGAATTACGTCACTGATTCCTGTGCGGTGGCAGCATATTGCAGCTGCATTACATCTTATCCGGGTGCGACACGCTCCCTATACCTGTAGTCCGCAAAGTGGGCGTCGAGGAATCACTTAAATTCCGACCCCAATTTCGCCTTGACTAGCGTCTCCGGCAACTTGTTCCAATATTCCGCCACTCGAAGTATAATGGATGAGCAATACGATTTAAATCCCATCCCATCAGTTTGTACCGATGTCCGCGTGTCCTGTGCGAACGTGCAGCAGCGGTCGCAACATAGGGAAGTGGTCCAGATGCTGTATCTGATGCGTCATAATGAGATCAAATCGAACGCGACGATAGGGTGTAAAGCCTTGGTCTACTAGATCGGTCTTCGTAAGGTATACTCCGTAAACTGGAGATGAGCCGGGTAGCTGCATGCTGGACCCGTTCCAGTCCTTGCCCTTCACCTCTTGTGATTGGACAATAGGCGGGTGAGCCGTACTTAAGCACAGGATTTATTATGGAAGAGAACAGACCGGTGAAAATCTCTTCAGACGTAGTGCAGAGGCTGCGTCAAAGGGCCCACATGAATGAATCGTTCGGTTGTGAATTTATCCCCTGCGGCGATATCAAAATCGCAGTTAGTTTGGCGAACATCATCATCATTACACATTATCTGATGATGAGGAACACCTCACTTAGTGTGCTTCGCTACAAAAGTTATGATATATGGAAAAAGAGCTACAAAACATTGTAGTATACAAAACAAGCAATATAATGTCATAGTATGCATCATGTATAAGAGCATGGTTGGAGAGGAAAGACAAGCAGGGTGGGGAGCGACAAAGAAACTCACAACACCAACACCCTTGAGATCAGCTCTTCGCCATGTCTACTAATTTATCCAGTCTACGTATCCATCGTTTTTGGGACCCCCAACTCCATAGTCGGGAAACGCCAAATTCGAAGTGAGGGACTTCATAACTCTTGAGCAGCTCATCATTTGATCTCCCCTCTTCTTCTTCCATTCAGACCCCTCGCGGGAGTCTGAGTGCTGGAATACTCAACACGTGGTTTAGTCATCAGAGCCTGGTGCTTGGCGAAAACACTTATTTTGCCCAGTTCTTCATCAAGTCACTTGGTTTACCGCGTCAGTTCACGAGAGCCCTTGCAACCCACCTACCAGATACCGTAATACTACACAGGAACTATCGAACGCCGTTTATTAGCGACAGTGTACCTGATCGCTATTCGGCTTGCTAACCCGGAGTTTCGTCCAAACCCACCACTTATCCTGTCCACAGCCCGTCTCATTTCGGTAGGAAGACAATAGAAATCCTCCCAACTTTACCCTTAGTAGTGTAATACCATAGCTTTGGTTATCGCGCTGTTCGTTCTATTGGTTCATTGTGCTTGAGTATCTTCCATCAGTTTCAGTCCTGTCTGTCCTGTGGTAGTAGCTTGATAGTAAATCATCCAACGATAGCTTGTCTGCTGAGTTAACTTTTGATTCTGGAGGAACATTTGTTGACAAAATGCTGATTACACTGAGCTCGCTCGTTGCACCTTTACCCATCCCATGGTAGCTTCCATGCGGCCAAATGGAACGTTTTACCCATTTTCGTGGTAGCTCGACTTCGTTTGACATCCACTGTCTTTATGCCACTTTCGTAGATGATATTTGGATGTCTAAAAACTGGATGAGATCAGTCGTCTTTGCAAGTCATGTAAAAATCTGAAATCGCAATTATTTAGCAACGGTGGTTGTGCGCAATGCCGTTTTCAATTAGCTGCTTCACATGAATTCTAAGGCAATAAGCAGTACTTTTTGAAACATTTCTTTTTTATTAGTTGTTATCATGGCGCATGGTCTCCTTTGGATCATATGGCCATCCTTTGCATTATTATTATATTATTCAACACTTGACCAATGTACAATTGGTAGTGCAACAACACATAGTTAACAACAACAAAATGGAGGAAACGGGTAGTCAGTGAAAGGATTTGGAGAGTTTAGAAGGCCTTGTTGTGTGGGCAGAGATCTTCCCGGTTGCCCAGGCCGAGGGTTGATTTAAGGGACCCCACCCTGAGCCTTTAGTCTTAAGACCTAACCCGCAAGGCAGCGGGACGATTAACAGAGATCGTTGACTTCCGAGTGTCTCCTTCGCCTTCTTTTTGTTCGGTAGCAGTCCACAGAGAAGCTGGTGGCCAGCAAGGTTGTTCACCCGCTCTCCGTTATATACTCACCTCTGGTTACAGAAGTGAGTGGTTAGTGACCCTATAGTCGGTCACAGTGGCTTTGACACAGCGCCGTACGAGCTCTTGTGGTATTTGATGGAGAACCAGGTGACCAGCCCATAACTCCCCACGCTCTGAGACGCTGCCGCTGATTGTCCGCGACTGCTTATTCATCTCGCCTGCAAAGCAAACGATACTTATTCGCAGTTACCTCCACAAGGAAGACATTCCCCAATCCGCAACCTGGGGACGCGCCCGATAACGTACAGCTCCGCCACGGGTGGCCATCATTTGACACCGATGTAGAAGCCGTCTCGAACTTTATTCACAGTCCGGATGCCAGATCCACAGACTCCCAAATTAGGACATGCGGTTGCTTTTTCGCTCGTTTCCTTCGCTGTTATGCGAATTCAGATCGACGAAGCGTTTTTTCTTTGTCCATTTCTTGCATCGCAAGTCTATCAACATTTTGCCTCCTCTTAGCGCATTGTTCAGTGAACCGACTTCAGTTCAGGTGAACAACTATGATCCGGACGCCGAATGGCGGTGGATCTAGTTGCCACATCGACATAAGAACAATTGCTAACAACGGTAAGATAATGAGGCTGAACGCAGATGAAATACAAAGTATGTTGCGTCAGAGGTTGGCAAAACTAATCGGGTGCAAAATAAATGGCTAGCTACCAGAAACGGAATACAGGAACGCCGCCGGTTGTGCAACTGCGCCATGTCTGATGAGGTCTCCAACCGCAGATGTAGACCATCCCTGGGCCCCATCCACGAACTCGAACCGAATTGTCGGTTCCAAGATCCCTCTAATAGTAAACACGCGGTATAGCGAAATACCGGCGGTATGAAACAGTGATATGTTTACGCAGGATCCTAACCGAATGTGGACAGTCCTTAAGCCCCCCATCCAAGAGTACGTGCTTCATGGCCTTCTGGTCCTTGCTCCATGCTTCTTTGGCATTTCCTCTCCTAACCTCTGTCACAAAACCCGGTCCCTGAAGGACAGGGGGTTTGTTCAGCAAAGATGAGACGTTTGGTGGTTGAATTGTTCGCAATTTCGTAGCAAACGCTTCTTTACAATTTG